GGGGAGGGGGGGGCGAGGGGGAGGGAGGCACTTTAGTTTCCACACTTATTCACCTGTGGAATTGGGGTAATTTTTTAAAACCAGTTCCTGCCCAAACTTGCCCAAGACCATCCTATTTTTTGGGCCCGGTGCTGCTTTCCCCAGCCCTGCCAGGGATGGGGATTAGGATGGGGGTGGGATAAGGGTGGGGATGAGGGTGGGGATGGGGGCAGGGACAAAGCCAGGCAACCACCTACCCGAAGCCACCCCCTAGCCACGGCTGCACCGGTTCCATTTGTCTCCTTTGCTCCTTTGTGGGGCACCTGCTTCTGCCGGGAGGGGACTGCTCTGTCAGTGGCAGCAGGGCCAGGGAACAAAGAGAAATTGGGACAACAGGGTATTTTCACACAGGTTAATATTACTGGGAGGGGGGTAGTGGGAGGTAGGGAGGGTGCAGTCACCTGCCTGCATGTTAAAATTAGACCAGCTGGAGGAAAATACTTCCTTAGGTCTTTGTCACTGTAATTGGTGCCACATGGAAAGAAATGTGAGGCTGAAAGGGTGGGTCCCTCTGTGCCAGCTGGCCCATGGGCACTGGGGCCTACCAAAGGGGGTCCCTACCCAGGCCAAGGGTCCCTGCTGCACAGAACCTCACCAGGGGGTTTTGTGGGGGAGCAGAAGGGGCCCAGGAGAAGCTTTGTTCCCTTACCGGTTTCCCTCCAAAGGGGGATTCTTCAGCACTGCATCCATCACTTTTCCCAGGTGGCCATCAATCCAGGTGAGTGGCTGGAGAGACTGGCGAGATCCGTCTTGCAGGTGCTGGAGTAATTCCATTTCATTAGGAGGTGCTGGGGGGGGTTTTATTATTGAGCAGGTTAATTCTCCTCTCCGAGAGCTCTGTCTCAGAGGGGGATGTCACCACACATCAAACCTGTAAGAAAATAAATGGCTGGCACCTGCCTGCTGCCAGGGCTGCTGGAGCTGGAGCAGGTAAGTCCATGGAGACCTGAAATGAGTGTGGACACCAGCTGGAGATGGAGCAGGGACCCCACCAAGATGTGTCCTGGCACCCAGGGTTAAGTCACCATCACCCATAGGTGGGACACAGCACAGCAATGGTGCTTCTGGTCTGCAAGTGTCTTCCTATTAAAACAAGAACAATAAAAATAACAGTAACAATAATAGTAATAGTGCAAGAGGCTGATATTCAACTTAGTGTCTGCCTTTGCTGTTTGAGAGTGAGGAGAAGAGACAGGCAGTATAAATTGCATGGCTGCAGAAGGACTTAAAAAAAAAAAACCATCTCTCATTTTGATTGATATTAGCTTCACAAATTAAGCTTTAGATTTATCTAAAAATAAATTTGCTTCCTCGCTCCACATTCTTGGCTGACAAGTGCTTTTCTGTTCCCTCTGTGGGGTTTGTCAGTGCTGGCAGGGAGGCACGGGGGGTGGGACAGGAGGGGACTTTGTGGGGGGGGGAAAGAGCCCGAGAGGCAAGTCCTGCAGCCCTGATGGTGGCAGAGGGATCCCGTGCCAGGATGTCACCCTCATGGCCATGGTGTCCCTGTCCCCACCGTGGTGTCCCAGAGTGCTGGGATACGGTGACACCCACCTCTCCTGCATCCCCGCTGCTTTACACCCACTCCACACGTGGTCGCTCAGCTTGGGGACAAAGATTTGCTTGAGGTGGAGAAAAAAATTGGTTTCAAATTATTCTGGAAAATCCCCCCCCCCCCGGGCGGGCCCGGCGGGGTGAAGAGCAAGTTCATAATTTTTAAGTAGCAGCTGGGGAGGAGCTGAGCCGGCTCCTCATCCCGGTACCGGTGGGAGGCGGGAGGTGGGATCTCGGCCG